AAAAAAAATCATTTTTTAATTATTATCTTCCATTTTTTACTCAAATTACTTTTTTATTTTAACAATCATCCACAAATTAGTTTTCAAAAATATATCTACATGCATTTTATTTATTAATACAATTATTATTTTCCACAATTCCTAGAGCAATATTAACAAACATAAAGATATCAAAAACATAATAAAATAAATAGCCAAAAGGAAAAGGAAATATACCCAAATGAGACTTTAATAATAAAGTCTAAAATCCACAATCAACTAAGCCCAATGAACCAATTTGTTGGGTTAAAATCTGAGCCATGTCCAAAGGTGGGCCTAGCAAGAGTAGGATAAAGTCTAAACCATAGGTTTGGTTGGATCGAGTCAGGTCTGGCTTAATTCTTTTTTTCTCAACACACTATAAACATCCAACTTTTTTTAATTCATTTCATCCTTTTTCTATACAAAAAGAAAAAAAAAAACTCCTTCTTTTAACAGATAAAAGCCAACCTACCAAACCTAATTTTCAGCCAAAAATCATCTTCAGTTAACACCTTTTGGCTCCCAAATTTCAACTATAGCTTCCTTTCAATCTGCTCTGCTTTAATCCAACCTTTATTTCTCATAAATCGCCTAATAATAGCCTAGATTTGAAATTTTAACCTAAAACTTCAAACCTCTATATCTCTTTCCTCTACCATTTGATTTTTTTATATTTTTAGTATGTTGTTCTCCTCTTCTCCCTTATCATTTCCATTGGTTTAAATCATCCAAAAAGACTCCATTACAGTGAGCCATCGTTAGCCACTACTAGTTTTACTATTCAAGCCACCACTATGACCCCCTCTAAAAGCCTTTCTCTTCTTCCCTCATCCAAACCAAATCCTTTCAGAAAACCTCCAAAGCCTTATGTTTGTGTTTTTTTTTTATTATTTTTGTTTATGGCTTCCTCATAGGGAATGAGGTTGATTTTCTTATTGTTTTTCTTTTTTGGGTTAAATTTTTTGGTAAGGATGGAATTTTCAATGGATGAAAAGATTGACAAAGGCATTGGTGGTGAGGGGAGGTCGTTTTGGTGATGGGGAATTTAGACTTAGCTAATGGGTGTTCATTTGTTTGTGTGATGGTAGTTTCAACTCTAGGTGGTGAGCTTATAGGGGAGGACTATAGCAGTGGGTTTTGGCCAGATGTGTGTTGGTGTGGGTTTTGGTTGTGGTGGCTGTTGATTTGGGCAATGGTGTAGGGTTTTAGTTCTATTAGAGATTGTAAGAGATGGGGTCTGATGGTGGTTTGTGGGATTTTGCTTGTTGATGGTGATTTGCCGAGAATGGGGATTGCAATGGTGGTTTTGGGTAGAAAGATGGTTTAGTTAGGGGCTAGGACTTTTGTTGGTTTTTTTGGTTGTTTTAAGGAAGGCCGAATAGTCTCCCAATATTTTTGAACATGAACTCAACTAGGATATTATTGAAAATCCCCGAACCATCTTCTTTCTCATGCTTCTATCTGGGAATTAAATTCCTATAAAAAAGGGTGATTAATGATCTTAGATTTTTCTTGCAACATTGGTTTGCTACATTTAGGCTCTACAATGCTGTATTTTGGGAAAGACAAAAAATTTAAAGTTGACTTTTAGGGTGTCATTCTAGTACCAATTGATGTTGCCAATGAAATAGGTAAAACAATAGTGGAAATTTTTTAGAGTTGAAAGTGGAAAAACAAATTAGGGAAATGGAACTTTAGTCTGAAATGAAGGAAAAGTAAGAGGAGGCTGCTATCATGGCAGTCGACCCTCAACCCTCCCTTTTTTTTATTTCTTTAGTTTTTGTTATATTTATTTGTATTAATTTTTTGTTATTCTATTTTATTTTTATCTTCAATTAATCAAACCGAATTTAGGCTTTAATACTAAATTTGAGTTTTAACACTAAATTTGGGCTTCCATTGGGCTTTCAAGCCCAAATGACTTGAACCAGGCTTTAAGAAACTTGGACTCGTAATCGGACTTTAGGCCTTTAATTGGGCTCTCAAATCTGAATTCATAATTGACCCAAGAATGAAACTGAATTGGACCTAAGCCCATGCAAAAATAATCTCAAAATGGTTAATTTGAATCAAAATCTGAATGGGCCAAATCGAAATGTTCGAACCAAGTGTAAAAGTCAAATAAACTCAAATCAATTTGGACAAAATTATGTGTCTACAAATGTGTACTTGTGTGACACAATTAAATTAAACGTGTTTTTCATGTCATGTCACGTATTAAATGTGTATCCATATGACACATTTTATTTAAACATATTTTTCATGTCTTACATATATTTAGACGTGTTAACACCTATAAGATATAAATTTTATCATGTCAAAATTTATATTGACACGACTAAACATGAGACACATTTTTTTAAAACACATATACAATTTTTTCTATCTTTTTCGTATCATGTCTAAAATTATCAAATCTAATCTAAAGCTAATTTAATGTTACTAAAGTAATTAATTAGTCAAGTTTAATGTTGACATGATCATCTGCATATCTATGGCTCCTAATTAATTAATTGCTTCACTTATCAATGATCTCTAACAAAAGAGATACACCAGTTACACTGGCGGATGTTATGCTTTTCAAAATTTACTGGGGGATTGAGATTTCGAGATATGGAAAAGTTCAATAAGGCACTACTGAGAAAGCAGGGGTGGCTATTGTTGAAAGAGACAGATACATTGGTTTACAGGATTCTTAAAGCTAAATATTTTCCGGGATGTTCTTTCCTTGAATCAAGGCTCGGGCGAAATCCGTCATTAACATGGAGAAGCATATAGATTGCCAAGTAGGTTCTTGAAAAAGGTGGGTGATGGAGGTTTGGAGATGGACAAAACATCAGGATTTGGAAGGAGAAATGGTTGCCAAATTTGGAATCTTTTATGGTTCGATCGAGGCTGGGTAATACGGATGAAAACAGTGTGGTTATGAAGCTTATTGATGATCGAACTAAGCAGTGGAGGTGAAACTTCATTCAGATCAATTTTTCCAATGATGAAGCTGTTGCTATTTGTGCATTACCAGTTATGGTAGACAAGGTCGACCTGATGTTTTGGTGTGGCACTACGATAAAAAAAAAAAAAAAAAAAAGGTGTCTACACTCTACACAGTAAAAAGTGGCTATAAACTATTATGTAATGCTGAGAATGTAGGAAATCTAGTTGAAGAAAGCAGGCGGTTGATATGGAGAAAAATATGGAAGGCTTAAGTTTCTAATAAGATAACAAAGGTTCTTTTTTGGAGGATTTATCATGGCATGTTACCAGTAATGGTCAATCTTGACAAATGAAGCTCAGTGTGGTGTGGGGAGGCACAAAAAACTGTGTTGCATGCAACGAAGGATTGCCCTCTTGCAAGCAGTGTTTGACAGCATGTTAAATTAAATTTGGGATCCTAGGAGTAATGGGGACATTGAGCATGCAACCTGGATTGAACATGTGTGCGGTGGAATTGATCAACAAAAAATGCAACTCTTCATGTTGACCATAAGGACTATTTGGGGTGCCAAGAATGGTGCAATGCATGGCGAACCTTGGCGAGTAATTTCATAAGGAATTAAGTATCAGGCAGAGTACAACCGAGCGCAGCTGACACAGGAAGGCCATAGTATTCAAAACCCACAATTTTGGTTACCTCCTAGGAGTGGTGAATTAATACAAGGTGAATTTTGATAAGGCATTTGACGTTACAAATAAGGTAAGACGATTAAGTATTTGCTATCAGAGACTCTGCTGGAGCAATGGTAGGTGCATATACTGTTAGAATACCTAAAGGAACGGGCCCTTTATGGTGGAAGTTAAAAAAGAGTAGTTAAACCCTTTGAGTTTACTCAGAACCTGGGACTAACCCGGCATTTCTAGAGGGAGATGCACTGGGGTTATCAAAAACTTCAAACGAAAGACGAATTCTTATCCTCTATTGGACTGGTAGTTGATGAGGCTAGAGCTTTTTTGTCTCCAGGCTCGTTCAAGCAAAAAATGGCTTACAGAATCATGAAAAATATAAAATAAAATAAAGTCTGGCTGTAGAGGACTATCCTGAGCCAATTCAGGATATTATTCATGCAGAATATACCACAGTTTTATGAATGAATCACTATTATCTTTAGATTCGAAGAAAAAATAAACTTTCGAAAGCTGTAATTAACTACATATTTGGGAAGAACACCAGACAACTAGTTTGATAGAAATCATCGATAATCAAGATGTAAGAAGAGATTGCCAAATCCCACTAAAAAAATCGAAAATGGAAAAGTAAAGAACATGGATGCATAAATATAACTTAATGCTACTTTTTAAAGATTTTTAGACCAATTAATCTAAGCTATATGCAGTCAAAACATTGTTGATTTGATAAAAAGGGAAATTCAATAAAGTGCAGGAAAACATTGTGGAGCATACAAGGTGTTGCTTTTTTTTTGCCTTAAAAGAACTTACAGTGAGTTTGATTGGACTAACTGCTCTGCTACATCTTTTAAATGAAATTTTAAGTGAATTTGTAAAGTTTTAAAAAAAATTAAAATAAAAAATCAAAATTGATAGAATAAAAGATTTCATTATATAGATTAAATACGTAAAATTTGAAAAAAATTTATGAATTTTAATATATATTTTTAAATAGACATTTTTTGTAAAATTATTATTGTAAAAATATTGATAAAATTTTTATCGTTGAATAAATATCGATTAAATTTGAATTATAAATAATTTTTTTAATAATTTTTTTACATATTATTGATCTTTAAATTAAATTCTATCAATCTTTCAATTTGAATTTTTTATTAAAATTTTTATTAAATCATTTTTAAGAAAGAACTTAACATATTTCACCTATAAATTTTCATATAAATTTTGTTTTTAATGGTAAAATCCTATGACACTAGCATTTGTCTATATTTTCCACACTCATTAATAAAAACAAATCACTCCAAATTTAAAAAAAAAAGAGAGAGAGAGAGAGAGAGTCAGAAAATGGAAGAAGTATCAGCATGTATTACATGTTTACAAAATTGTTCATCATATTTAAAATTTTCTTTTTCATGTTAACATGATAACATGTTCTTATATGTTACTATAGTACACTATCTAAATTCCAATCCTTTCTTTTCCTCTGTTTCATTCACATTTTTCGCTTCAAAAAACTGTTTGCCGAAATCAACGCTACAACATTCAAAGGTGGCCCGCCCGCCTTCAGTCAGGCCATTAGCAATTCAGAATTTCTTACTTACGAATGGGTGGCCATCTCAGCACACAGACGAGCAGTACCAGATACTCAAGAAAAGAATAGGATTTTCGTGCCTTGACTGATATTCAATTCTGTATATGTTCCAACTTTAAGAATTTAGTGGTTTCTCCAACCACGGACATACCTAAGCATCCGGCACAAAGAAAACTATCAGCAACAGCATAGATTCATTCAAGAAATGCTCAATTATGTCATGTCTTGTTTGTCTTTCAGTACTCATTTTTTGTATGAACGCATGTATGATGCAAATCTATACCATATTGAATTACAAATACAAAATTAAGACTGTGTCAAGTTTTACAACCATTTTCTTATTTTGTAGCTTACCTATTGGATTAACATTTTTATATCCTTACCTCTTTCTTTCCTTCTTAGCAAGCAAAGCCTTATGGATTATCAGAACAGAAAGTGGTTAGGCCCTCAATAGTCTTGAGCTCTCTTCAGTTAGCACTTTTACAAAGAGGCATTTACGATCAAGTCCAACACAAGAAGAAAAACTAGTTTCTTTGTGATTTTGTGCATAATTGATGACTCTTGTTTGGGCACATATCTGGTCATAATTAATTAGATAACAATGTTACAAGAAGTTTTGTGGAGAGGATGGTATCATGTCACTTGACAACTGCTCAGATCACGCAACATTTAAAGAATGCCTTTAATCACTTGAAAATAGAATATTCCAACTCCTGAATTTCATTGCTGACTAACTACAATTAGAGACAAGTAGGTTCAGCTAATCATGCAATCAACTTCAGTACCATCTTGGCCAAAAAACAAACTTCAGTACCTGAAATTATCTCAAGATAAAGATACTCAATTGAAAGCAGATAAAGTTAGATGAAAAACGCCTTTTTAAAGCACAAAGCATGAGGATTTACAATCAACAATAATGAACTAATAATGCCATTTACCTAATGAGATAGTATATAATTAAGAAGAAAGCCACAAAGCCCACCACCAGAGTACACATTCTCCGATTGGACTTCTTCTCAAACACCTAGAGAGTAGCAACCTCATCATATTGAACCATTTTTATCAGCAGCAGAAAATAAATTTAATCAAACATGAAGCCAAAATAGTAGGGCAGATCTTATTTAGATACCTTCTTGAACCGATCCATAGTGCCTGACATAATACCCCTTGTAGCATCCATGCCATTGCCCTGATTTATACAAAATCCGTTAAAACCAAAGAAACCAAAAGTTGAAGTTTTGAGGCATAACAACTGTAACTGCATACCATTCGGTCGAGCAAACAGTTATGGCTCTCCACCTCATCATGTATATCACCCGTTAACTGTAAAGAACTTACACATATCAAAAGTTGGTCAAAAGAGTATAAATCATAAAATTTCAGGGCATTTTCCTCCATCTGTTTTGTTTTTAGTGAAGAAAAACTAATACAATTTCCCGCTGGTGAAATAATTCTATCGTGTAAGTAAAAGAGCACAAGACTTTGTGCACACCCATACAGATCCATAAATACATGAACAGATAGAAGACTTTAACCTCCATTATGCAATGATAAAACTGGTGTGAGCGGCAAAGAGGTAAAATAACCAATGCATATTGACATTGACGGGCTCATAACATGTGTCTCCAATTAAACACCTTAGTGTCACCCTCAAGCACTTATCCCAGTACTTCCCCGGTGCTTAAGATTTCTCACAATGACTTAGAGAACAGAAGAGAAGAGAAAAGGCAGTTCAAGTGGAAAGCCATTCCCTGGACTATTTTACATAGCATTTACTGAGTACATGCATTGCTGTAGCTGACCCTGTCATTTCCATACTTGAGCATCAATATATGCTACAACATATATGTTAGCCCACTAAAGAGCAGCCAATGTACATCAAGAACTTTCTGAACAAATATGCTTGAGCATTTACCAAATACATGCATCACTGTACCTGACCCTGTCATTTCCATACTTGAGCATCAATATATGCTACAACATATATAGTAGCCCACTAAAGAGCAGCTAATGTACACTAAGAACACTAATGAGCAGCTAACATACACTAAGAACTTTCTGAACAAATATGCTTGAGCTTTCAAGAAAGCTGACCTAAAGAAGGGCTTTTTTGAAGCTAGTTTATGATTTTTTTTTTTTTGTATGAAGCTGCTTATGATGCAGGCTATATAAGAGACCTCTCAGTCCCACACGTCCTAAATGCCAACTCCATAAATCCAAGCATCTAACATTGTCCAGAAGACCATGCTAAGATCACCTAGACTTGAAAAATATAAAAGGGTTTAGATAGATATTTAACATTTAACAGGTTGCAAATAATCAATAAAACTGAAAGGTAAATCTCCTTTGACAGAACTTAGGCAAATCTCCTTTGACAGAACTTACTCTTTTCAGAAAAGCAACTCTGTCTTGCAAGTTGTCTATAGCTTTGTCATTGTCATGCTCCCTAATTTCGTGAGAGAAAGATGAAGAAGTCCTGAGACCACCTTCTTCAAGCTTATCAAAACCACCAAATAGAGTTGCTTTTGAAGAGCGGTGATCCCTACACCATAAGTGATCATGCCATAATTTAGAAAAGATAAATCAATATAACCAATAAAAGGATCATACTTAATGGACCAGAAAAACTTAGCAAAAGGATTTTTAAAAATAAAGAAAAATTGGGTAAGAGAATTTGCAGAGTTGAATATATCATATATAAAATAAGACCATATAATACTACTAGTAACTTGTCCTAATTCAACAAACAAAACTCTCAACATAGTTGTAAAAACACAAGGGAAAAAAAAGATGATGAAATTTTCCGAGCATCAGAAATCATATCCATGTTACCACACAAAAGATAAAAGAATGAGACCACAAGTAGAAAACTAGAAGCAGCAATTATCAGGTCCATCCAGAAAAGAAAACAACACAAAAAAAAAAAAAAGAATGAAATGAGAACTTAGGTTGGGAGTACAAATATCCACAAAAAGATTATTATACAAGTCTCAACCCCTGTAATTACAATCAAAATTATTGAAACCCAACATTTCCAAGAAGAACTTTTCATGCATGAAAGATTGATTGGGACGAAATTTTAAAGGAAAATATCAAAAGTCAGCTACTGAGGGCAAATCAATCATGAATTTTCATAGCAAGGGCAACATTAACGCAGTGAGTACTAGAAATAAACAAACACAATGCAGATGAAGGAAATATCATAAAGATGAAAAATTCTATCACTAGGATTATAATTCTTATCTTTGGCAAGGCATAAAGACGAATCAACTAAATTAATTGATTTTTCTAATATAAGGATCAAGAGAGGACCATTCTTCAAGGCCATGCCAAAATCCCTAAATCCTAGAGGATTAAAAACCCTAATACCTAAGGGATCAAATCAAGCAACAAATCAAAAGCAAAGCTGAAATCTGGAAAGCCTTTTAAAAAAAAAAAGAAGCTCATTTCTGTTACCAATTACCCACGTTCAAACACTTTCAAAAATTCATTAATTCAAGTAATTAGAAAAATAAAATACCAGAATTAGAGACAAAAGCTGTAATCCGAACACAAAGTAAGGGAAAAACACTAGAAAAAAATTTAACCAAATAATTGATTCCTGAGAAATCATATTGCAGCTTAAATCTAAATAAAAAGTTAGCGTAAACAACTTCCATGAAAAAAATAAACTAACCTTCTATAACTCATTGCTTGGAATCCCACTTCCTTCTTTCGATTCTGCTTTTCATTAACTTTCAATATTTTCACTGACTGCTTAAAAATCAGCTAATTCCTTTTTTTCTAATTTCATGAAATTACAATATAGGTTTTTTTTTTTTTTTTTGGTGTCTTATAATCACTTTAAGCATCAATTATAAAAAAAATAAATTCTCTCAATATTTATCTTCTTCACTTATAAACTCGAAATTAAAATTTTATTTTAAAAAAATTAAAACTTTTAACCACTCAAATCAACAAACGTTGATCAATATAAATCTACGTCAAATTATATTAATAAGATTTATTTGTTAATTTTTATAAAATATTTTAATATAATATTTTAAAATTTTTTTAAATTTTATTTAAAATTTGTATTGTTAAGTTTTTTTTTTTTTTTTTTTTCAGTTTATGGCTCTTTTTGTTTTATTTATAGCTCAAAAATGGTTTAAATTCAAGGTGATTTGGTTATAAATTTAAAAAAAAAAAATCATTATAAGATAGAGGTAAAAGTTGAATGTATAATAGTTTCTTTTTTCTTTATTTGGACTAATTTTATGGACTTTGTCGATAGAATCAAAAAAAAAAATTTAAATGCTTTGATAGAACTCTCGTAAAACTCTTTATATATTGTTACATTCTTCATACATGTATGTATATTTCAAGATATTGTACATTTTATTTTTTGCCATAAAAATTATTGAATTGTATCCGTTCTATTGTCTACTTTAAGATCCGAAGATCTATCCTCACAATTTTATCTATTCAAAACCATACATATGTCTGGAGTGCTTAAAACCAATGATGCTATTCTTTTCGCATGCTTCAGACACTGAAAACATCAGCAGCTGCTTTCATATTCCTTCCTTACTTTAAGGGACAGCATGATAATTTGATCCTTCTTTTAAGAAACACCACTGTAAAGTTGGTGTAAAGCCTTTCACGCCACTGAGTCAAATACCCAATCTAATGCTACTCTAATAATCTCACAACTAGGAATACGATGAAATGTCTATGTTGACTAAACATCAACAATAAAACCATTAGTCATGACAACAGGAGTGCATGAACAAGTAACAGGTACACTGAAAAGAATTATAAGCTTTAAACAAAGTAATCAATTAGGATAAGAATTTCCGTATTGCAATTGCCACTCCATACAATCCTCAAAATCGAAACTGCTTGCACAATCCAACAATGCATTTTGCTGATGCTCGTAACGACATATATAATTCAACCCAACAAGAAGCTCACAGATAGCTGCTTCAGTCTTTTCCCTATCAGCAAAATATAAGGTCTGGAGAAGAAGAACATTTGTCCGAGTAACAATTTGCTGCTGCTCAAAATTCCGCTCACTTTGCCATCGAATCATGTTATGTGCCAGTGGGGCGAGCCATGTTAATATCTCATCAAGAGTTTCTTTCCAATCATGTGCCAATGGAGCATCATATATAGCCAAATTCTTGACATAGAACTTGAGATTAGTCCTCATAGACAGTCTCAAACTTGTTGGCAACATCTGATACAAATCATCTCTAGCTTCTTCACCAACCAAATGAGGGTGGCGCAGTAGCTTCTCGATGACAATTATTACATTAGCATAATGCAAGGCAAGAGCAGAGCCTCCCACAGTGGAAGGTGAAGCATATATTGCCAACCTACTTTTAGGACCAAATTGTGTGTTATTCAGCATCCAACACTTGGATTGCATCAGATCTTCATTCAAAAGATCACTATGTTGGGGCCGACAAAAAGGACGAGAGCGATTCGGGCGCTCTCTCTTCACCCCATCATTTGCAACACTACAACAACCTGAAATCTGGCTACTCCGGTCTTCATGGTCAACACTCTCGTCATCATCAATATCGAACCTTGAAACTGAACTACTCAAACTATGGCAATCTGTGAAGAGTCTTCCGGGACTAGTCCCATAATGAAAACCAAAATCCTCCACCCGAAACAACCCAACTTCACCTTTTCGACAATCATTCCCCCGATGCTTCAAACTCACTCCCCTTTTCTCCACCACAACTCTCTCCACATTCCCAGGCTGACAACCCCCAACACTACTACTCTTACTGAGAACACGTTTCAACTGCCTGCATTCGCTATCCTTTCTCAAAGCAGACTCCCCAAAAACAACAAGAATCCTAGCAAAAATAGTACAAACAGTCCTAGCCAACAACTCAACAACTTTATCAAATGTTTGGTTCCAAAGTGAAACATCCTTAAGATGCCTAACATCTTGTCTTTGCCAAATCAATTTTTGCTCGAAAGTTCTCTTACTTTCCTCGTATGTATTTGCATGAAACTTCTTAGTAGCTCGTTCTAGTTCACTCAAAACCTCCATTTCATTATACAAATTAGCAGTCGAATTAACATACCTTTCCATTTTCCTAACCATTCCCTTCATATCTTTAACTAAAAATCCTAATTCTCTAACCTCTATAACCCCATTCAAAATGTCTGCATAAACATGCTCAAAACCTTGTAAAGCTGGTTCATTGCATTTTTTACCAAGTCTAGAGGCAACAGTGGCGATCTTGTTCAAGTCATCGAGCCTTTCAGCTAAAGCAAGGGTAAGAAGAAAATTCTCATCAGAAGAAATTAAGTTGGAAACGGCTTGGGATTTTAAGATCTCGGATTTGAGCTTTGAGATCTCGGATTCGGACAGGGATTTGTGGAGATGGATAGTTTTGGACATGACATTGGCAACTTCGAAAGACAAGATTCCAACGGTTTCATGTTTTTTCGGTGTTGGGTTGTTTTGGGTGTTCTTTTTTTTGGAAGAAGGCTCGAGAAGAAGGGCGTGTTTAAGATTGGAACTTACCTGGTTTCCCACTTTAAGTATCCAAGTTTCTGCTACCATTGCTGAAGTTGAGCTGCTGCCTTTGGGTTTCAACAGGTGAAAAGAAGAACACCTTAAGAATTTAAAATGGGGTTTTCCAACAAGAAGAAGAAGGCTTGCCTTTGTAGTTCATTTCATTTTTGGGTTGAAAGAGAGAAGAAAGAAGAGAGATGAGTGAGCGTTCGAAAAGAGGGGATGGCTGGTATTTGAATGCGTCCGAGGGTTTTAAAAGTCTTGCGTATGTATGTGAAGTATTCAATGATCCATTGATTTTTACCATACTATCCCTTCTGTTTTTCTGTTCTTGTTCTATTTGGAATCAATTGGAGTAATTAAGAAAATAATTTTTAAAAATGGTTTTTAAAAAATATTTATATTTTCCGAAATAAAAAAAATATTTTTTGTTATTTGGATATATTAATAAAAAATATTTTTCTTTATTTTTTTTTTTTTTCAAAATCTATTTTTTTCAAATAATATTAATATAATTATTAAAATATTAAAAATTATTTATTATTAAAATATATTAAAAATATTTATTATTAAAATTATTAATATTAAAAAATAATTATATTTTAATAACAATTTTTAATATTTAAATATTATGTTAATATAAAAAATACCTAAAATAAAACCATTTATTTTCTTTATATTATTTATTAATATATTATAATATTATTTATTAATATATTATAATATTATTTTGTTAATATTATTTATTAATATATTATATTAATAGTATATTATTTATTATAATATTAATATATATATTAATATATTATAATATTAATTATATATTATTTATTAATATAATATTATTTATTAATATATTATAATATAATATTATTTATAAATAAAATTATACTCAAAAGTATTGATAAGTAGTTTTATTCAGAAATTTTTTTTTTAAAATGTCTTTTGAAAGACAAATTTCAAAAAAATAACATCATTTTTCATTGATCAATAAATTATTTTTCGTTAATCAATTAATTTTTTATCAAACAAACACTTAAAAATATAAAAATTATTTTTAGCAAAACAAAGGGAACCTAAATGTATATACAAGATAAATTGCAATTCATAAATGATGATTAAATAGAAATTCTAACTGTTTAATTTGAAATGCCCATTTCAATTTAGAGATTTTATTTATGAAAACATGGGAATGATGTTAGTTTTTATAGGATAGGAGAAACTAGTTTTCACACTCAATTAGTTTTTCCCTTAAGGCTTTAGCTTACTAATCAAACGTTTTCTATTTAAATTAAATTAAATTTGTTTTAAGATCCATAAAGTTGACTAATAATATGGTATGCATGTAATATCTATCACGACTTGTTAGTAGAATTTTGAAAATCAAAATTCAATCTCTCAATCTCAATTACAGGAACAAAAAAAAAAAAGAAATTATAATAATACCCATGTCTCTTTTTATTTTCCTATTTTAGAATTTTGCTTGATTCTTAAGAAATTAAGATATATATTTTTATAGGATAATTAAGAGTATTTTAAAATGTTGTCAAATCTAAATCCTTTTTCAAACAATTTTAAAAACGTATTTTATCGTAGTTAAGAAATTATATGAAATTATTATTTTTCTTGTTTTCATTTATCTATATAAATTTTGTTTTCATATTGAATGAGACAAGAAATCGATCTTGGCTCTTTGTACAATGGGATAGCTAGTTTGAGATCTACATTGTCATTCATTACATTGAAGGGTCACTTTATTTTGGTTTGATATCACCACCCAAAAGGCAGGAACTCATGAATGCTTGATATTGAGTGGATTAGACCACAATTTTTTTTTTTCTTTTGGGTCAACAAAAGAGGAGCAACCCACCCAAACCAACACATCTAGAAAGTACTTTGACTCAACTTCCAACACAAATATTTCACTCATTTCATGCATAGAGCCAGGAGCATAAATGCTTTGATGTAGTCCCATATAAAGGAAAGTGCATTAGATTTTGTCATAATGATTAGTTAGGTTTAAAAAGGAATCCCCAAAAGCAAAATGTTTGATTTTTTAAAAAACTTTTAATCTTACTTTTATTAAAAAAATATTATACACAAATTTTTTTAAATCCATAACATCTAAATTTTAACTTTAATAATATATAAACTAATCTAAAAGATCAATAATCAAATGTTTGATATTAGTTTAAAATATTCTTCAAGAAAAAAATTTAAAAACCATGCCTAAAGTCAAAGTCAATCGGTGGGTGAATTGCTTTGCAAATTGTAAATTTCAAGTCAAAAGGGTGCATATTTTTAGTGTTTTTTTTTTTTTATATATATATCATTTTTTTATTCTCTACCCGACAAAACACAATCAGAAGAGTTCCCATCCACAGGAGCGCAAATGTTGGGCAAGAGAAATGCTAGTTGTGGGACCTTTTTTCTTAATGGGTTTAGAAAATTGCTACTTCGCAAGTTTGAAACTACGAAATTGTCCATTGTTAGAAGATTTAGCTGTTACCTGCTCATCTTTCCATTCATTTAGCTTGATAAGCACGGCCTTGGCCGTGTTGTAACTTCCACATTCAGTCAACTTTTCATCAAACACAACAGAAAACCCTTTTTAATATTTGAAATTAAAGAACAAAAAATTAGATCAATTCGTGTATTTATCTATTTCGTATTTAATATATATATAAATTATATAAATTATTTTATTCTAATTCATATTAGCACATCAAATATAAAATAATTTTTTTACTTTTTCTAAAATTATATACAATTTTTATTAAAATTTTATACTATACCAATTTTATATTTTTTCGTATACCTTAATTTTGTCCATTTCAGTGAATTAAAATGAGGCATTTAATGAAGTTTTTTTTTCTTAAAATTACAGCTTTGTAGTCAAGGAAATTATTAGAATTTGGAGTCCAAAGTCCAAACCAACAAAAAAGTTCTTAGATGAAAAATGATCAGACTAGAATAAGGAAGAAATTGTCAACAGTTAACCAGCTGTGGGAGTTGGTGGCCTGATTGTATCAAGGATTAGCTTACTCAAGACTTACTAGGAGAGCAAAAACAAGCCACATGGGTTGGCCACCCTAACCAAAACAGGTCAAGTAAACGATCAAATACTGACAAAAAGAAAGGCGGAGATGGGAAACTGACACATCTCCAAGCTTTTTGCCTTAATTTATGGGTTTGGCAATTCACATTCCAATTTGAAATTTCCCATTTCATTAAGAATTTAGTCATGTCAATAAAAAGAATGGATTGGTGAGAGCTTAAAAGTCCGGAATTTAAACACTGGAATGAAAGCTATGAGATATAAGTTCATAGCCAAAATAGTGATGATTGTTAATTCCATGTGTAAGTAATCGAAGGCATCTCAACACTTTGCCCATCCTTCACCTGTTCTTAATCATATGGGACCCTTCTGCAACCTTTCCAACCTAAGAAAAGAAGAAAGTTCAATGTAGAAGATACGTTGGAAGGAGAAATCAGCAAGCAAAAGGGGTCGGTTGATGGTTACAATTTCCCGCCATGTTCTTGTAGGTTTGTGTTTGGATCACTTTTATGTGCAAGGAATAATGGAATGTATCAACAAGACTGTTGAATTTGCCCCAACTCTATATATATTTTACACATTTGAGTGCTTTTGATGCAAAATGATATGTAGAGTGTCACTTTCAGGGATGGGGATGGTATTGTTTTTTAGTGCTCTCTTTGACTAATTGATTGAGTAAGCGATGGATAATTGGGATTCATAATAATCAAAAGTCATCAAAGTGTAAACCACTTAGCAATCAACCATAGGTTTTTCCCATCATCAAAAATTTTGATTTTGTGGGAAAATGTCACTTTCTTGATCTCAAATTTGTTCCAAGAAAAGTTTTGGTTGAGAATTTCGGTACTTATTAAAAAAGAAGAGATAAAGAAAAATAAAAAAGATGTGCTAGACCCAAAAATCCACAATTGGCAAGAGACCAAACCCAAAGATGGGCTACACAAACTATTAATGGAACGTGGGTTAATCACAGCCTTTTGGATGCAAATTTGAACGGAATTGACAAACCCAAACTTTTTGCTTTCACTAAATTATTATTTGTTGGAGCCAAATTGAACATTCACCCAATAACGAGTACTCCAACAGGAGGTAAACCATACCCTTCAAGCTGAATCAAAACCTCATTCTTAAAATTCCCTTCAACAGGAGGACTTCTTATTAAAATTATTCCATTTTTATAAGAGTTAATATTTGATAGTATATAAGTAATATACGTTGTCAATCAATCATACAATGTATCACTTGTATATTATCAATGCATCAAGTATTAATTTTATAATTTCCGCTTGAGATCTCTTATTCCCACTCAGTATCAAAGAGTAAATGTACAAAATAATAAAAGCAACATATATCTATTTGAGTCAGTTAGCTCAATGCAAATGACTGAAGTCAATGGAGCACCCAATCCGTTCACAAAAACTGCTGCCACGCTTTCCAGCTCAGATCATCGTATTTGAAGCAAATATTACACACCATATAATTTACAAAATAATCCAAATAATCTACACCATATAATTTCAGTGGCAACAGATATTCGAAAGATAAAAGCAAATTAGATATTCTCTATTACTTTACTATCATAGATTAAAAAAATCAATAATTAAAACAAGAAATGAACGTTGACCTTGATCCCTTGAATCCCCTTTCACTGCGACCTTCTTCGCAAATCTCAAATATTATAAATTAAACTAATTTCTTTGTTTGAATTTTTCATTTAATCTTAAATATTTAAAATTTTATTTTCTATTCTAAAAATAAATTTTATATATATTTTAATAATAAATCAGAAAATAATAAAAATAAATACTATGTTTTCTATATTATAAATTAAAAGTCAAATAATACCAAAAGTTCTTATACTTTACGAAAATTAAAAATTTAGTTCATATGTTGTAATTCATATAATTTTAATTCTTGTACTATTTTCATTTGATAATTTTAGTCAAACTATTAACTCTATTAATTTTTTACTATTAAAAATACTGATGTAATAGTTAATTTGATCACGTGACATTGATTTATTGATGTGATAACTTGAATTGATGAAATTAATTATTAATTATACAAATGATTTTTGTACTCATATAAAATTTGAACTTTAGTCTTTGTACTTATATGAAATTTGAAATTTAATCTCTATAATCTAATGAAATTT